TTTGTTGCAGCCTCAGCTTCTCCAATCTTCTTGATCCTTCTAGAATATGTTTATTTAATTGGGGCCTACCTTGTCCTCAAGGTAGAAAGTATACTTGATTGTTGCTGTCGCAGCAACTCAAACCTAACTTGTTCAGCTCCTTCTTGCCTGAAACCCGGTTCTTCCAACTCACTACCGCCGATCGTGACTTATCTGTCTGTCGCCTCTTCCAACTCTCTAATTACAAGAACTTACATCTCCTTATTTGTACACTTGTGCCCAATTGTAAATTTCTCATCACAGCGATAGCATAAGCTTTTTTCTCTTTTTGTCGAAACCTCTGCATCTGTGAGTTGTTTGTAGGGGTGGGATATTTGCTAAAGTGGTTTGGATGAGTTGGGAGAAGATGTAGGGATGCTATTTGTTTGTTAACTTGGCTGGGAAGTTGGGTTAGATTTGGGTTGAGAGAAGGGGGTGGATTTAGGTTGTGAAAAGAGATATTCTTGGGTTTAATTGGATCCTGCCATGAGCCCTTTTAGGTTAATAGATTTCAATCTTCAACCATTTGGGCGACTTTCATAATCTGTTATAGGCCCATAGGTTGTAATAGGTTAACTCCAGCACATATTGTCGGGTTTAACCTATTCAAAAAATTGCACTCAAGGATCTTATCTGAAACCTCCATTAATGGTGAAGCTAAAGTTTGAAAACGTCGGCGGTGTTCTCGAACAGTGGAACTTTGCTAGAAGGGTAAAAACTAGGCGCAAAGAGTCTCTTCTTGTGATGCTCGAAACCGACACAACAACTGAGCCTTCAACCCTTCCCAATTTTTCATTGGTCTTCATTTTTCTTTCCACTTGAACCAAGCCAGTGCCTCGTCAAAACACACAGCAATTGCCTCCACTTTCTCTTCCTCCATTAGTCTATTAATGTGGAAATATCGTTCCATCCGAAAACAAACATTTGGATCAATCCCTCTGAGCACAGGCATCTCTAGCCATTTGATTCGTGGCTTCATTTTCCCATCACTCCCTAAACTTCCTCCATTGTATTTAGGGGTGGCAATAGCTTAGCTCATGGGCCATTTTCCCATCATTCCCTTATAACCACGAACCAAGCTCGTGGCTTGTATGCTCGACTCGTTACTTGAGTGGTGAGCTCGGCTTGGCCCTCGAACTAGTGACTCGTGGGCCAAGTCGAGCTTCAGCTCGCAAGCTCGTGAATTTTTTTTAAAAAATAGATAAAATATAAACATTTCTCCTTTATACAGGCTTGGGACCGATTACTTAAATTTCGAGTAAGCAAAGTTAAAAATTGTACACGAACAACTTGTAACGTATGCAATTTTTAAAGAAAATTAAAAACATTATTATAAAATAACAATTTTGATTAATATGGTTAAATTAAATATCACTTACGAGACAACATGCAATTTCGGCATATTTATCTTGTAGTCGAAAATGAGCGTCTCGTCAATCCTTCATAAACATTAATGCTTCCAAAATATCTTTTTACAGTCGGCTCCTAACCTTAGACAAAACCCTCTTACCTGCACTAAAAGTAGATTCTGAAACTACAGTGCTAATAGTAGGTATCAGTAGGTCTTTTGCAATTGCAGAAGTTACGGGCCATCGTTGTTCGTACCTTCGCCAGAATTCAATAATTTCTTTGAAACTTTTTTAATTGTTTGTTGGTAGGCATATTATGATTAAAGTAATCAATTTATTTAGCAGGCAATACATTTGAACTTGCTTCCAATATTTGATTACATGCAGAAGACAGTATTACCGGATGAACCTATTACATTTGCATCATATCTATTAATGCCTTCAAATAAAGTTAATATTTCAGCGTCATCTTCTTCAATATCGTTGGAAGGAGTAGGTGCAGAGGGTACTCAATTAATATTTGTACTCATTCGTTCTGCATATAATTCATATATTTTACAGAAAGATTGTACTAAATTTCTATATGTGATAGGTGTATTAAAAATTAAAGCTCTTGAAATTTGATTAATTACATATTTAGTTTCTGATATATTATATCGGGGGTCCATGATGCACACTAAAGGAAATAACATAGGCAAGTTTTTCCAATATTTTCTAAATTTTAATTCCATAGAATATATAATTGCTTTAAAAACAGGGGCATTTTTGTATTTATGAAATGTTCTTGCAATTATATAAAGACGTTTGAGCACTATACAGTTAGTCAGATGGTTAACTCCAAATAAAATATTTGTAGTGTCATAAAACTCGTCAAAAAAATTTTAACTTTTAAAGCTAAAAGCCAATTGGATTCATTCAAAATAGTGTCGTCATCATTTCTAATATGCCTATTGTTATAAATATCAGTTATTAAATATTCAAAACCTTCGCATGACTTTAATAATAAGTAAGGGAAGTTCCATCTATACCCTACGTCGCTAACAAATGTTTTAGCATTCGTCACCCTAAATTCGGCAAAAATTTCCTCAAATGCTTATTTTCTATTAGGGGAAATCATGATGTATATTAGTGCATTCCTAATTCTTTGCATTTCATCTTTAATATGTTTCAAACTATTTTGCACAATTAAATTTAAAATATGGCACACAAAACGAATATGAAACAAATAATCATCGAAATCAGGCTGCAATACCCTACACAATTTATCGATAACTACTTTATTAACGCTAGCGTTATCGAATGTAAAAGAACGAATTTTACTCTCGCAATGATATTCTCTAATAATGGTCATAATAGCATTATATATATATATCGTTAGCGTTTTGAGGGAATTCAATAATTTTAAAAGTTATAATTTTTTTTATGCACACACCAAAGAGGGTCTATGTAGTGTACAGTTGCAGTTATATAAGTTATTTTATTTATCCCCTCCCATACATTTGAAGTTAAAGATATAACATCCTTATATTTTTGCAAATCCATAATCAATTGTTGTTTTGTTTAAAGGAAATATTATATTATATATGAACGAAGAGTGTTTTAACTTACTCCAATGAGACGAAATGTTGGTTGTCCGCTATTGCTAAAGGCAACTTAACACCGGCAACAAGTTTCACCATTCTCGTTCAAGCATTCTCCTCTGAATACATCCACGTCGTGAGGGGCAAAATCGTAGAATTGACATATGGACTACCAAATTACAATTGTGTTTGACCGGCTTGAAAAAGTCCATGTTTGACCGAACATGCTTTGTGGTGACAGTTGAGGTGGGTGACACCAATGTCTTTTTGTCATGCCAATTGTTGTTGGTAGTATTTACATACTACTTTAAACTCTGGGACTCCATCGATCACACGACCCGTTGAAAGCAATATGAAGTGATCCCAACATTTTGTCTATTTTTCCCCTTTCGCTCCCCTCTAATAACAAGAATTAGGGATGTCAAACGGGTCGACGACTTGTCGGCTCAGCTGCTCGGCTCATGAAAATGGGGCTCGTGGGCGGCTTAAGCTCGAAAAATAATGAGCCCTAGCACGATGAGCCGAACCGGCTCATCTCTCCCACGGGCAAGCAGCTAGTATTATGTGAGCCTGGCTCGTGGCTCGCATGAACAGTGACAGAAATGGGCCAACCCGCTTGGCTCGTGCTCGTGCTCGGGCTCAGGCTCGCTATTTTTCATACCTATTCTCTTCCAACTCTTCCCTATTTATAAGCTACTTGTAACTGAATTTCCTTCCCCATTCTTCCCCTCTAATAGAGTTTGTTGCAGCCCCAGTCTTCTTCAATCTTCTTGATCCTTCTAGAATATGTTTATTTAACTGGGGCCTACCAGACCCTGTCTCATGTGTAACTGTATATTGGGCTAGTGGTGTTTATATCGACGAGTTGAACTCATAGCTTGTTTTTATTTTGATTCTTCTTTCCAGGAATTAATACGACAGCCTTTGCATATTGTGGAAACTGTAGCTAGTGTAAATATGTGGTTTAAGTTTTCCACATCATATACTCACATTAATTTAAAGTCGAGCATGTCCTATAATTTGTAAAGCAGAAAGGAATATTTTTTTTATGCAAATACAACTTAGCATTTTAATATTGAGTCTGTGTTCTGCTTCTCTAAATCGGTGTCTGTTGATTACAACTTGGTTTGGCTTGTTGAACTTAGTCAGATTGCAAAGGGCTTTTAGAGAAAAGTCCCTGGGACTTTTGTCCTGCCAAAATGCCCGTTCGCCTACGTAATTGTGCTATTATGGCTATTTTCTTTGCTTAAAGTGCTTTTCAATGTGATAATTACATGGAATTAAACATTGTGGCTGAAGGAGGTTGCATTTTGTTTAACATATTTCTTTTTCTTATTGGGGTGGGGTGGGGTGCTTTGTGCATATTTTATTGTCCTTGGAATACCACTATTGACATGCATTCATTTGTCCTTCAAGTTTAAGAACCATTTTTGTTGACTTATATTTATTTATTTCTTTAAGGTTAAATATCTCTTTACGCTGTTTACGATACCTAAGAAGAGAAACATTTATTCAGTGAGGTGCTTTTCATCACTTAATTTAATAAAAAATATATATATATATAATCATACTGTACATTGAACGATGTGGTGCTATTTAATATACCCAGCCTTGATACATTGTGTGTTTGATAGATTTTATGTTATCTATTGAAGTTGTCCTTAATAGATTGTTGGGTTACCTAGGTGGATCGGGGAGTTACTCTCAGTGAAGCTCTTCTTAGTCATGACGAGTGGCTTGAAAAGAAGGGAATAAAAAACACCAACTTTGCTGTTGTTACATGGTCCAACTGGGATTGTCAGGTGATGTTAGAATCAGAATGCCGGTACAAAAAACTTAAAAAGCCTCCCTATTTCAATCGGTACATTTTTATTTCTCAACTTTGATGTCTCTAATAATTTTTAACCTTGATCTTACATTAAAATTATCTTAATGTCAGTCACTGACTTGATTTGCTTCTCTTTCACCAGATGGATCAATCTGAAGGTCCCATTCCATGAGGTTTTTGGTGGAGTGAGGTGCAATCTAAAAGAGGCAGTCGAGATGGCTGGCTTGGCCTGGCAAGGCCGTGCTCACTGTGGTCTGGATGATGCAAAAAACACGGCCATGCTACTTACTTTGCTTCTGCGCAAGGGCTTTAAATTCTCAATTACCAACTCCATCACGTGTCAATCTACTGATGATTCCTTTACAACGAAGCTACCTCCACAGCATTATCCATTTGTTTCACCTCAACCTCATAAATTGAGTGATCTGCATTTTCAAGCAACACAGTTTCAGCCTTATTGCCATTGTGGAGTGAAAAGTAGCAAAGCAATGGTTCGAAAACCGGGTCCTAAGCAAGGGAGCCTATTCTTTGGATGTGGAAACTGGACTGCTGGTAGGGGTGCTCTTTGCCATTACTTTGAATGGATCTCTCCCTCCTGATTCAATTCAACTACCGTTTAGGATAAACATCGCTACCATTTCTAGAAAAAGTAACTGGAGTCAGTGTCTACTTCTCTATGGCAATATGTAGATATTTAGCTCGAGCTTATCATAGTGAATGGAGGATGCTGCCTGTCTATATACATATGGCTTGATGCAGAAAGAGTATTTGACAATACATATGAGTAGTTAAAAGAAGTCATCACAGGCTTAGACAATGTGTTTTATTAAATATGGTGTGAAATAGGGTATCTCTGGACTTTGGGGTCTCTATTAGTTTATAACCTGAAAGACTTGAGTTTTAGTTTCTTCATAAGATGGACTTTGTTTATATATTTTCTCGTCTTTCTCCAGTTGCTGTACCTGTCTTTAGGCTCCAAGCTAACAACGTAGCTCATCTTGAAAAATCGACCGAATTTTCAGGTATCGAAGAGGACGTGGAGGCAGCCTTTCACAATCTTGCGCATTGTTGAAACAGGCTACACTTGTATTTCTACAGGCTCAAATGAGCAAAACAATAAACACTTGAAGACTCAAGTCACATAATTTTGGTAGTAGTAGAAGAGAGATTGCAAATAATAAAGGCAATGAAAGTTTTCATTAATTAGGAATATGATGGAAGGTTCAACAATTTATATTTTTAAAAGATGAGAATTTATTTTTAAATTTTTTGTAACATCACAAAATTCTCATGGCACTTTTTCATAATTTTGAAAAGTTGAGGAGCTAAAGTGAAATATGTTTTAAATTCTTATATTTTTTTGGATCAAATAATTAGATTTTGAAAAAACGAGTTCTAATATATCAATATTAGACCCTTTTTGTGGCTTATAATTTATTAGAACTCTTTGACTTGAAAAAAAGTTATTTTTGAAAAAACCGCACTAAGTTAGACTCAATTGAAGGAAAATAAGGATAATTAGATTTTTGAGTAGTTTAGAATATTAACTTGGTAATATGACAACCATGTGTTTTTTATTATTTTGAATTAACTGTTAATCTTTGGATTAGAATGAAAAACGTCAAATTGTAATTCAGTTCCACTTACTTCTTTCAATTTAATTAGCATCCACTTCCATAACCGTCCTAATTATTTTCTCCCAATTACAAAATTCGGGAAAGTTAAATTATTAGAATTGGTTTCATAGGAAACCCATTTTTAAAGCCAAATCCTGATATTAGTACGCCACTATAAAGTAAAATCCATTCCTACCCAAAGTCTTCTTTTTTTTAAACCAATTTTCAAATTCTTATACGTGTTATATCTTAGTATAAATTTTATTAGATGGTAAGGATTGGTCTGAAGCCCAATAATAACTAACCAAGGGGTGAATTGGTTTTTAAAACTTTTTTCGAAAAATAAATTTAAATAAAGAAAGCAAAGGGTATATTAATCAATTAATAATCATAAGCAAGTAGATCAATTAAATAACAAACATATATAAGATAACAATAAGTAAAAGGTTAGAGAGAATGCAGACGATATAATTGTGGTGGTTTGACCCAAAGCAATGATATACGTCCACCGTTACCGAACTCTCCAGCACGAGCGAGGTCTTTTCACTATATTGATTAACTTATAGTACATTCCAACCCTTTATAATGCTTCAGGTGACTTTTAAACAAGGAGTATCAATCTTTATAAAATATTGAGCCTTACGGCACCTCAATATGGCCTATGGTCGCTAAGAAAGTACATACCGCAAGTGCACGAGTCTATCATTTGAGAAATGTTTACTTTCGATTACACAAGTTTAATTAATTTAATTTTAACAATAAAAACAAACCCACAAATAAAATTTGATTTTGAAAAATAAGAAAAATTAACTAAAAAACTACAAAATAAGAAAATATAAACACTTGGGAATTTTGGAGGAAAAACGTGGTTGAAATTCATAGTTTCATTTAACCATTGCCCAAATTAATTTCTCCACAAGCCAATCAATGAATTACTCATTTTCGATATTAGACCCGATTTTTCAATTTTAATTAATTACTCCTCTCAAGCGAAATTGATACTAATTAATTGGTTTAACCTACTATATCTATGTTGATTAAAATCAAATAATTGCATTAAATCGTAGTGAAAATAACTGAATAGATCACCTGGGGTTAGGGATATATCTCTATCCTCTACACAAATTTAGAGTTTCTACTATTTAATCTAAAATGTACAATATTCTCTTGAACGATGTACAAATTACTAAACATAATCATTCATTAGTCACATAAATGAAAATGTAAGAAATAACAATGGTAAAAACACATGAAAATAAGTAACTTGACATCAAAAAGTAAATATTAAAATTAATTAAAGTTACTAATACTATAAATCCCAACAAAAATACTAAGCTCATTTTATGTATGTGATAACAAATGAGAATATTTATCCAATACATGACAAATGATAGAAATTAACAAAGAAAATACAAGATCAAAGATAAAACCCTTTTTGTTGGATTTTTGCTTGAATACTTAGTTCCTCAATTCTTCTCCACCTTTTCTTTCATTTATTTCCCTTTTTGTGCTCTTGATTTGCTCCAAAATATTAAGAAAAGTTAAAGGAAGAAGAGAAAAAGAAAGAAGAAAGGAAAATGAAAGAAAAAGAAAATAGAAAGAGGAAGATAACCCAGTGAGAAGCCTTAGAAGTAACCAACAAATTGGTATTTAAATGCCAAAAATAGCCTCAAGTGAAATTGTGAAAAGAAGTCCTGAAATTTATGCGAAACAAGCAAAAATTTCCCAGCCGGAAGGCAGAGAGCGCGAGGGAATTCATGGCGTGGACGCCGTGAGACCATTTTGGTCTCAGTCATTTCTTTTTCCAACTCAATCCTCCATTTAGTTGGACACAAGGCTCCTCAACTTTGATCATATACAATCTGGTCCTCAAATTTTGATTTCCATCACTTTTGCCCTCCAAAATTGCAACCAAAGTCCTTCAACTTTCTAATTTGTTCACTTTGGTCCTCAAAATTCACAATTTTCCACACTTTTAGTCCATTTCACTTCCTTTTGCATTGTTGTCTTTTATTTTGGGGTTTTCACCTGCAAAAGCCATAGTTGCACAATTGTGAATAGAAATTTGTTCAATTTAATCAATAATTAACTTGTTAAAGTATCTAATAAGTGTGCAAAAATACACTTATCAACCTACATGGTGGCTTAACACAAGGAGCACCAATCCTTATTCTATTGATTTTTTATGGAACCTCAATACGACCTACAAATATAACAATATAAATTTACGGTGAACTTTTCTCTCGATAAATGATATAAAAGAATTAAGTACTAAGAAAGCCTAACACTTCAATGAATAGCAATAAATGATAATTCAAGTATTAGATAATAAAACTTTGATGAATATGATGATTTTGAAGTTTAATTCGACCGATCAAAGTTTTTTTTCGATGGAAAGATGAAGAAATAAATGCAATGTAAGTTCAAAAATCTTCTCAAAATATATCTCTCTTTTAATGAATTATGGCGATAAATTAAGTATTAAAAGAGAGACAAGGAACTTTTATGAATATTATGATTTTACAAGTTTGATTCAATTAAGTAAAGTTTTGATATAGAAAAGTAGAAGAAATTATTTAATATAAGTTCAAAACTTTTATTCAAAACTAGTAAGATACACGTGCAATGTTGTAATTGAGTATATAAAAGATACGATGATAATTAGTCGAGCTTTGTTTTTGTTGTTACTTGATGAGTATTAGAGTTGGGATATTAATATATTTTTCTGTTTATCGGTAAATGTAAAATTTTATAGATAAAAACTTTATGTAGAACAATAGAAGTACACTGGACAAGGTAAATCAATGTTGATATAGACATTGATAAAGCTTGAACTTATACAATATCAAGTGACAAAAGCCTTATGAATGTGGTTATACATTTTTCTTACAAAATAAAGGGTTGTTTCAACTTCAAAATCATCATGAAGTTATTGTTCATTTCAGCTAACCTTATGAGAATAGTTATCATACAAACTGTTGGTGCAAAATAAATCAAAGAGGGTCGTTGATAAGGGCAGTTCTATGGCAAAACGAGCAAAATAAACTTTTAGGTTTGTGGCACCGATATTATCTGCAAAAACATATGATGAAAATTAGTCGAGCTTTCTTTTTGTTGTGACTTGATGAGTTTTAAAATTGGGGATATCAATACTACTTCCAGATGTTATATCGGGAAATAATGGTTCAGTTGAAGTTTCGAAGAGCACTTGTTTTGTAGATAGTGTAGATGTTTCTTGATTCTCAGAATTTGAGTTTATTTCAGCAAAGTCTAGGGATCGTTTATCTTTATCTTTCTACATCAGTTGTTCCGCTATAATGGCAATAAAAGGAAGAGCATCCAGAACAAATATAATTTCATATTTGTACTGAGTAGTGTTTTGCTCTAGTTGTGTGACCTTGATGTAAAAAATGTACTCGTTTTCAGCGTCCATTTGGATTATTGTAGCAAATGATAGATTGATTTCCTGTTGAAGGTGTGGATAGAGAAGTATTATTGCCATGTTTGTATGATTAAAAGTTTCATTGATGCGGTATGATATGTGCATTTACCATTTTTGAACAATTCATCAAACTCTCATCACTATACTTCAATAGTGTCTTAGCAAAGTCCCTAGTTGCACTTACATTTAAGATTCCACTTGCATCTTCTAGTTGTACGGTCACATTTGCTCTATGGGAATGAAAAATGGGCACATTTATTATTAAGAAAAGAATGGTTAAAATGCACAGAGACAGGACAAGTGTTAATATATGTACAAGTAATAAATTATATTAAGTGTTACTTGGGTACAGTCCTCGCAGAAGGATGTTTGCAATGGATACATGGGAAAGTTTAACCAAAATTAGCATGAGTGACTTTATTGCAATTGTCACAAGACATGTACCAAAAAGTTTGCTTTGTTATTTTGATGGATGGTTTAACTTTGATCCAGTAGTATTTATGCTGTGGAAAACGCTAATATCAAGATAAAAAAATAACATAAGCGTATTCATCAAAGATAGGAAGAACACATTGTTTTTCAATCAAGCGAAATGAGTTACCCCAAGTAACTGGCCTTTAAGATTCTGTATTTGTGTATTTTTTTGAATGCTACAGGAGATAACTTGGTGGGAATGGCTGTGCGACATGCTTTCTCCAGTGCAAAGTCATTTAGTTCTTCGTTGTGTGCTTCAATCCTGGCCGTAGTAAGATGATTAGACAAGTAAAAGTTAATTATTAGTGAACAAAATCAAAAATCTGTACAGCGGGTATTGAATTTAAGGTGAAGAAAAAAACATTCGAAGTTGAATATGGATAAGATAATGATGATGATGAT